TATTATACTGATTCTTGCTGAACATTTATAAAATGAAATACGTTTTTACCTGTGGATCATTCAGCCCTTTAAACAAAGATGTCTCATTAATATTTCTTGATTTACTGGTAAAGGTTTCATATTCGTAACAGTAACATAAAAACTGTTTTGACGCGGGTAGACCACCTTAGTTATAATAATAATAATAATAATAATAATAATAATAATAATAAGAATTAGAATAATAATAGATTTTTTTCACATATTTTTCCAGCCTTTAATAAAGTTGTTGCTAAGTATGTTAAAGGTTACGATGGGAGTGTCTCAACTGAAATTCAAACCCCCTATACTCTAATGTCAAACACTGTCCCCTTTAATATATGAGAGAATCTTCCAAGTCATAAAAGAAATAAAACCAGTCACACTACAGTCAAACTGGTACAACAAAAACCCACTGAGTAACACGCAATGTATGTGTATATAGCAAGCGATATAACCGGATAGAGCGACAGACTTTCCCCTCATTACTGCTACTTTACATGTCAGGCTGACTATCTGGGCGCAGGCTTATAATATGGCGAGTGGCAGCAGAGCCCAGCAGTAAAGAATAATGTCCGTGGGCTTAGATAATAAACATGGTGCATGGAAAACGGCATGACGGGGCGCTGAGGAATGCTTGGTATTCTGTACAGTTGGGCAGTGCCTTTAATCTTAGGGTACAAACCTAAATGCAACCTCGCCGGTCCTGTTTTAACTCATAAAACAAATTGCGTTTCTCTCATATCCGGCGACTGCAGGACTCCAGTGAGTATTACACAACTTTACAATGGGGCCCTATCAGTCATTTACCTTACAGGGCGACGCCGTCCTGAATCAGACTAATGAACTAAAGATGGTGACAGATGGCATGACCCTTTCGACAGTATTAAACTAGGCGGATCTTTGTGGAAAAGCATGGAGATACGCATGGAATCGTAAAACAGTCTTTTTATCGCTGAAAAATCGTGTAAATACTGCTGTGTGTGAACAGATTTCAGGACAGCCAAATATTACCTGCCTGTATAGACTCCAGTACAAAAAGCCAGACTCATTCCAGTGTTATTCCGTCTGAATGCGAAATAAACCCAGTCTGTCTGCATAATAAAGCTGGCAGGCTACTTGCAAGTCCTTCATTCGGGATTGTTCATATTAACATACATTACATTACATTACGATTCCTTTCTATCCATATTTCACGTTGATCTATTAACCCACCCAGCAGTTCATGTGACAAGATTTCAAAAGCGGGCAAAATTTCCTTTGTTAAAATACAAAACAAGAGACGATGCTTCCCTGGAAACGCAGACGTTAAAAATCACGTTTTACCTCTGCGGAGCCGAACGTTACCCCCATGGCGCTCAGGCCGGCTTTCAGCTCCCCGACGTCCACTTTGCCGTCCTTGTTGGTGTCCAGCTTCTCAAACAGCTCCTGGTAGCTCTTCCCCAGCTCTCCATTCGAGCAGTGAGCCTTGGAAAAGACCAGATTTCTGCATATCTGATACATTATCGCGACCGACTCAAGTGACCGAAGCCCTACAAACGACAGGGGATGAAATGAGACCGCAGCGGGGCTGACACTCGGGGCTGGACGGGCGACTCCTCTAATCCGGTACTTCGGTTCCCCGTAAAAAGCTTATCATACGTGAGTAATCGCCGCTTCCTGCCTATCTACAACCTATCTAACCTTTTCTGTGAGCTACGAAAATACACGTCTGTTCCCTTCCGAATCAATAGCTGCACCAAGTGGGTGGGATATAAAAAAAAAAGTTACTTGAAGCGAAGAATGACTCCGCTTTCCTTTCTCGACGGCACGCCCTTTCTGCATTACAAATAAGAAGTGCTGTTATAAAACGTGCTCTCTTATACTGAAAAAAATACGATTTTGCGAAATTTGATGCATTCGCATGTATTTTCGGTTTTCAGTCGAATAGTTAATCCTCTGGAGTCTTTTTGTTTAACATACGTCTAATGGGGCGTTGAGTGTTTGTTAATACCGTGTTACACTAAGTTGGGTACATGCATCGACGTGGACATATTTCTAGAATGCAGGACAGATCTTGCTGTTTGCACCACAGACTGGGCTTTGTTTTATAACAGAGGAACTTACACTGCGGAATCTAAATACTTCTGTAACAGATGCAAATGTTGGAAACAGGCCTATTAACAAATATTTAAACAGGCCTACATGGCGTAACAACGCAAAGTGAAAATGAATAGCTGTTGTATATGATAGGGGACTGGGGAACATCGCGTATGTTTAAGTGTTTCACTGTATTTTTATTCAGGGGTTTTCCACGATGCATTTGCTCTGCGACGAGTGTGTTCGTTTGCGCATGCGCAGAAATTATTCCGTCGTTCTTGCTTTTGTGACGTTGTTCCTTCTCCAACGCGAGCTGACCCGCAGGACCAGAATATTTTCAAATATTCTGTGCTCTTAGGTCTATTATTTACAACCAACTTAATTCAGTTAACATATTTTTATTCCCTGTGGCAGTGGGTCCCTCAACAACCATCTAATGAACCTGCTGCTATATTGCATTGAATTAAGCATATTGTCCGCACAAAGCACATTATTTTATTAATGTATATAGTTTATTATGCCGATTGTCTTGATCGCCATTGCGTGTTTTGCACGACACCCTAAAGTAAATTCCTCGCATGTAAAAGCATTTTGGTTATAGGCCTAAACGATTCTGATTCTTCTTGTCAGTTTCAAACTCTCCAGAGATTCCGTCGTGACTGAGGATTTATGTTCAAACAGAGTGATAATAATAGTGAATGCACATGTCTATACTCTTTGTCCTAAAGAGGGGGTCCCCAAGGTCCACTGAGCGCCCGACAAAAATGCCGACCAGGGAGGGTCACCGACGGTAAAACTTGCCGTGCAGGGGGCGGAATTCATCGCCCAGTCCGGATTCAGTTGCGTTGTTGATGACCACTGTTCTAAAGCATGAAATCTGCTTGAAATGCTTACGTCTCTGGGCACATCAAATACAAGAAATGCATTGTTTAATCGAACAGAATGCTCTATTTCTGACCTTTAAATGTTAAACTGCACACTCTTAAAAGGTTACACATTGAACCTTTAAGGGTTCTATAACATGGTACATATATGGCACCCACAAAAGGTTCTATATAGAACCATTATAGAGGGTTCAATTAAAAGAAATAGCACCTTTTTGAAGGCAATGGTTCTATTTCCTAGGGTTAGAACCCCTATAGTTCTATATAGCACCCCCAAGAACCCTTTTTTTTAAGAGTGCATTTTCATTAAACATTTAGGGTTGACTATTATTTATATATACCTAAAGAAATTCTAGGATTCTCGCAAAATGGGAGTGGTTTTAGATAAGGGGACAGGATTTTGCCTCATTGTATTGCCCCCAGTAAAACTGTAACACTGACGTCAGATACCACATGTATCACATTTACAGCATTTGCATTTACATTTACAGCATTTAGCAGATGCTCTTTTCCAGACCCAGTCCAGTGAGCAGCGAAGCTGCAAGCTGTTGAACATCATAGACAGTTGTATCCAGACTATCAAAAGAAAACTTTAAATGGCTGACTGCAGCCAAACACTGAACAACAGTGTCTGATTGTAATTTCAGTTTGACTGGCGTTTGTGGGCCGTCATTGTGCCCACATTTATGTTCTTGTGCAATAGCCATCAATTTTCTTTTCTATTACAATTCATTGTAATTCAGCAGTAACATTTTCACCTGTGACAATGTTTAAGTACAGGTTGGGTTGGTCAGGCCTGGTTTTATTATGAAGGTAAACTTGATAAATCCTGTTTTCTACCTTAAGTAAGGATTTTAGCACATTTTTTCTATGAATTATATGTCAAATCTGATCAAAATGAGTAAGAATTGACCTCAGAGAGTCATAAAAAGACACAAACATAACATTTTTAAGTAACAAAAAATTTTAAAATGCATATTTGTCCCAAAACCGGGATCGATTTGAATTGTAAAGGGAATATCAATGAAAATCGTCTTTGAGTGGCCTCTAAACGAACAGATATTTATTAAAATTGTTTTTAGACCAAGCACACTTAGTGACATGGAAAAAAATCAGCTTGTTGTTTTCAAGAACTTGATGTTTTTTTTGGGACAACCCAACGAGGGCTAGTATTGGCTTTGTCCAGGAGAGGGCAGTGTGGTTCCTCACTGAACGACAATTCCGATGCCGTGTCTTTCAGCGGAGGATGGAGTCCCACGGAGAAATGGCTACAAAACATTACACTTTCCAAAATCATGCATTTTCAGCCTTTGCCAGGAGGAGGCGTCAAAGCCTCGAAATTGCTCGTTTCTGACAAAGACAATGGGGTAGTCTGCTGAAAAACATAACGTAACATCGCACATATTATTTTCCGTTGGAAATGTGTAACACAAATCACAATCATTAAAACAGGTCACATTTATTTAAGGGTACGTGAGGGCTCTGAAAATGCGTGCTTAAACCACCCTTATTGGTCTCAAACTGTTTTTTCGGATATCTTTACTGGCTTTCGTTACTAGCCAGTATACCATGAACTGTTCTGCTACAGTATAGTTACTACAATTTAAAGTCCTACTTGAATAACCTACCGTATTTTTTGTTAAGCGTCAGACTGTCCTTCAAACGAGTCATTTATTTACTTGGTAGGCTATGTATTCATTACCAAGTAAACAAGTTTTACACGGTCACATCGCTCTTGTATAAACACGTAATCTCCTCAAAAATCACTCCATAAAAAGATAAACAGCATAAACAGTTTAATTAGATTTAGTTTAATTCGTAGATTATAGTTCGCTTGAATTTTTAAGTCGTGTTTCTTCATCCTCCTTCCTTTTCGTCTTTCCTGTGGTTTAAGGTTATTTCAAATTCGAAATGCGGATTAGGGTTATGAACCCTGATCGCCAGTGACTGTGGCTTTAATGCCAGGCAATCGCGGACTGGGGTTTGAAGTCGCCGGGAGGGACCTTCCGACGGAGAGAATCATCGCTGGATCTCCGCCAGCAGCACTGCCTGCGCTGTCTTCCGCCCCCCGCTCGCCGTGGGGGGAATGAGGGCTGAGACACGGGACGCCGCGCAATAGGCGAGTAGAAGGACAGCAGATGCAGCTCGGGGTCCCCGGTGTGCGCCTTTCACCATGATGAAGAAGAAGAAATTCAAGTTTAAAGTGGATTTCGATCTGGACGAGCTGTCTTCCGTGCCCTTCGTCAACGGCGTCCTGTTTTGTAAAGTCAGGCTGCTGGATGGTGGCTTTTCGGAGGAGTCCTCCCGGTAAGCATCGGCTCTGGCATTAGCTGTAATAACCAGCCATGGAATCTGAATTATACGGTGTTACCGACATATCCAGCTGTGCAAACAGCAGTCTTATCTCCGTCGAAAGGCACGAGCAATACAAAAACGGTGCCAAATATGATGTGAAAATGGATTTTTTTTCCCGGCCTATAGAGGTAGTTGGGTACGGTAATAAAACGACCATTGACAGGCTACGATGCATTCACCATGTCAGATAAACTTGAGCAGTAGTTGAAATTATTTAACATTATCGTGCTTTTGTTGCGCTGACCACTTAGTGTGTCCTTGAATATCGATGCTTCGGAGATGCCTAAATATAAAGCAACGGATTTCCCGAGTAATGTAATGTAATTGCTGGGAATAAATCCCGAGCTTATTATATTCGCATTACATAGCACTTACGTTTAAATTGCACATAACCTTCTGGGTACATGGAAGGCATTGTATTCTGCACGGTAGTCTTAGACATGTAATATTGGGCATAAAAACGAATAAAATACAGAAATGTCTTCATCAACGAAATGACAGGTTTAGTATTTTTATTTACATGGGCTGTTTGTGGAGGTGTATTTAGACTCAAAATGTGGTGTGCATGAACAGGGACAGCCTTCTTTGCTTGGCTGCAAAAACACATGAAACTGAGCATTTCCTTTTTCATTTCAGCGACATTTTCTTACTAAATATAGCCACATAACACGTCTTTCGCGTGTAAGCAATCGACGATCGCGGTCAACAGGTAAAGCATTTAGCTAACTACTTTCCCCCTAAACATTGCAGCCGTGGGGGCTGCGGGGACGAATCGGTTTAAACGTCAGGGAGGCGATGATCCTGCGTCCGCTTTCACGCCTGCGATCGTGGCTATAGAGCACAGCATTACTGTTGCACTGTCCATGTATTTCTGAAAATCTATCTGCTGACCATAAAGAAAATGTTCCATTATTAATTGCATCGCGTTTTTTGTCAGTGTAAACGCTACTAAAAGAAAACGATATTGTCTTTGAATTCAACAAGTGATACCAGACGGACATATAGGCATTTGTTCTGTCTCTGTATTTTAATGTCTGTACACACACGCACACACACAGGTTTCTATGTGTATATCCATCTGGGGGAGTAGGAATCAGGGGCAACGGGGGACGTGTGCCTCCCCAATATTTACTTTGGCTTCATCCTTCCCCCCTCCTCCCCCCCAAAAAATAAAATAGACCATTGCATTTACATTATTAATTTGTATCCCCTCCCCCAATATCAAACTCTCGCCTCTGCCTTTGCATCCATCCATCCATTTTCTGCACTTAGTTTTCCAGCATGTGGTTTTAGTGAGTTTGGAGCCTATCACAGGACATAGGGCATAAGAAAAGCGACATATACAGAACAGGGTGGGATTCGAACCCCCCAGCCCTGGATGTGTGAGGCTTATGTATGTATTACTGATTACTTATCAAGGCAGCTTGGCACTTTAGCAAATGTCATTGTCACTGCACTTCCTCCCGGAACGTTCCAGCTCTGGACCAGCGGGGCGCGTGTTCTCTCCCTGGGCTTGCTCTGGTTTCTTTTGTGCGCAGCGTTTTTGATCCCACAGTGCGGCGACCCGAGGCTGACAAGTACTGGTTGTTAGATCAAGCCCTGTGGGTGGATGTGTGAATAAGCTAGATGGAGCTGGCAGTGTATGTGAGCTGTGCCCTGCGCCCTGCACCCTAAGCCCTGCACCCTAAGCCCTGCACCCTAAGCCCTGTGCCCTAAGCCCTGCGCACTGCGTCTCCGGGGATGCGCCCTGGATCTGCACTGACCCTGATTACTTTGACTGTTATTGTTATGTAGGAATAGATGTCGGGTTAATGTACACAAAGGGACATGTGGCGTGTCACCTGGTCTCATGTGACTCGGCTACAGTGTTTCTGTCATAAAGAACTTAAAACAAGCAATAAATCAGTGCTGGCAGAAAAAGCTGAGGAATATATCAGACATTAACTGGAATCAAGGCGCTGCCGGAGCTCCTCACGAGGATCTGGAGCGGTGCACCGTGCTCTGAGCTCCACGGTCCAGAGGGCGCCACTCTGCCGTCAGTGGTGTGTGAAATTAAAACTTTCTCTGTATGCGGGGATTTTTTTTTCCTTCATGGGCTGAAAATTTACAGATACTTTGTGATCTGCTGGAAATGACTGTATTGATTTATTTTATTGGATCTTGGTCCTCTTATCATTGCTAAGGAAAAGATTGTGGAGTCAGTGATTTGCTAGGTGACCTTTTAGTTATTTATGATGTGTGTCATTGAATGTGCACACAGACTGTATAGTTGCTGCACGGTTAACCTTCTCTGGCTAAGTTCTTTGCAGTAATATCTCAGTTCAAGCTAATCTGTTTAACTTAATTTTGATTTATCACACACTGTGAAGAAGTAATGTTATAACTTATCATAGCAAAGCCATTGTGCAGTTATGAAATTGATTTTTCTGCTGAATTGCTAGATGCATCCCCCTGACCTCTACACTGTCCTCTGTAATGGCCAAGCCTAATCACATATTCTGAAATGCACCTGTAATCTCAAGGCACAGCTGAATCTTTGACAGTTGTCTCAGCAAGGACACATCATCCGGCACATAAAAATCTCCTTTGATGCACAGCAGTTTCACCCACCATTTGGCTGGCAGGACTAAGGCCTTTGGCCCTGAGTGGTGTCTGTGCATAACGCCTCATGGTGTACCATGTGGCATGTTCCTCCCACGTTCCCTTGAGCTCGCCCTGGGACCGTATGGGTAAGAACATGGGTTCACAGCCTGAAGGTTGTTGGATTGAGTCCCTGCTTTCAGCCTTTGCTACCTTTTAGCAAGGTGCTTGGACCTTCTCCAGATAAACCTCCTACTATTAAAATGGATAATTTTTGTATTATTATGGATAAAAGAGCAAGATAAACAGGTATTTGTAAATGTGTTGTCTGATGTTGTGAGACCCAAAACACCCGATGAACCCAGGAAACATCACTGATGATGCACCCCAGCACATTCGTAGGATGTATCTTTCACCCGTAAATGTGTTGTCTAAAATAATGGCATGTTTCTTTGGTTCTCGAACTTCTTGTTGATTTCTGACTCACTCTATATATAATCATTCAAGTCCATAAGTCCACTTGTGCCATTCAGGAACAGGGACTGATTTGGCAATAAATGGGGTATGGCTGTCATGAGCTACACATCATAGAGGATGTAATCACTCTGACTTTGGGTGGGGTGCAGGATGTGTTGCTTTACAGCATTTCTTGTCACATCCACATAACAATACATGGCTCTCTTTAAGGATCGATCTTACCCGGATGCATTGCTTTTGTGATCAAGAAATTAAAATATTTTTTTCCCCGCACATTTATTATTTGGTTGACAGCTTCTTGTAGTCTAATGTTGTCCCTTTATTCCTAATGACAAGCCTGTGAAAGGAGACATGCGGGTATTTTTAGTGACAAAAGGAGAGCAGAAATGGTCTGGCGTTATGAGATGAAAATCACAGCGAAAAGTATTATATAGGCCTCTCGGAGACATTAATGACACGGTAGAAGTTCCATGTCATACCATGGATGATCGAGTTGTGGTATCTTAATAATACGCTTCACTTTTGGTAGTAACGACACCCGCTGTAGTCCATGTAGTTCAATGCAGTTAAATTTAATTCTGATCGTTCGCGCTGTTATTGGAGACTCGTGATGCTGGAAGTTTTGTGACACATTAAATTGTCAAGGACACCATGTGTCGTTGCTTTAAATTTTTTTCTTCTCATTTAGAGTCAGCGGGATTTGCATATTCCTTTTATGACATTTGAGGAGGTGGAGGTGTAAAGATTTTCATCGGGGCATGAAATAAATTGCCGATTTATTTGTGGGGGACGCTACTCTAAAATTTTATTTGGATGATAGGCCTGCTTTACCACCATAAGATGCATGCATTTTAAAAAGCTGTTTGTTTCTTAAGTATCTGTGTCGTTTTTTTTACGATCTCGCACATCTGTGATTCTTAATCTGAATCCTCTCCCACGGGAACGAACTATTATTCCCGTTTTACAATTGCAGCAGCTTGCATCATTTGTTGATTTTGATGGAATGGGGAGTTTTCGTGGCATCGTGTAGCGTAAGGATTCGGGTGTCATTCCTTCATTTTATTATGCTACTGAATTAAATCACTACGGCACTGAACGAACCCGTGAATTTCACACTGATGCAGTCTTGGCTTGCAAGACCCGAGATTGCTTTGAAAATGCTCTTCCATGAGCGCATGAGGGCCACCGCTGCGGAATATGCCGTTTGCTGTGTGCGTGTGTGGCTGTGTGATATGGAAGAATGTGACTTTGGAAAATGGATGGAAGACAACAAGAAAATGGTTGTCATACTTTTCTTTCCGTGGGATTTTTTTCTTTTGCTATTCTCAGCTACACTCTGCCAGACATTAGTATTAGATGATGTCATCCCCTTATCGATTGTTTTCCCTCTAGATAACGTTGTTTCAGGGGATCGTTGATTTCTTGCGTATACCAAGATTAGAGATATTAATACAAAATACATTTAAGATGTACTGAGTTTTTACAACCGTCACATTTTAAAAGCTAATGTTTTCAAGTCTTTTTGTTAGATTTCAAATGTTGGGAATGCCCATATGTCCATTAAAAGTCTGCACAGAAAGTGTTTTTATGTGGATATATTAAGCAGATTCTTTTTTTCATGTTTTCATGCTTTTTAAGTTTTAAAGGATCAAGGTGATATCGTGTGATAATTTAACCTTTTGTTGACTTACCATTTCTAACATCTCTACACTTTGCTATAGCTTAATTAGAAGTTATTGGTCTGTTTCAGCATTAAATTATCTTAAACCGAAAGTAACGTATCACATGCTATGAAATATCATATACTTTCATAAACTTGCATAACTTTCTAATGAAGTACTTGGGATACATTTTCTGGACTGGCTTAAGTTACGCAGTGCAGGTTACCGTTTTACACTTCTCCCAGGGTGTAAGATGTACTAAAAACTAAAATGTAAATGGGTACAGCAAAACTATAGGGAGGAAAGGAAACATAAGAGCCATTTTGGCTTCAACACAAGGGACGCCCTAAGGGGAAAAGGGTGTTGGATCTTTGTCAGTGTCTACAATGGGATGACGGCTCAGGCATTACGGTCTGCTTTAAGGGAAAAAACAGAGGGTCATTCTTGTAGGACTGGTAAGGAAACACAAGTGAACAAATGTGTCTGTCATATGACTATGGCATCCTGCCATAGGATGTCTATGCACCCCTCCCACACACACAACAGCTGAGCTGTGTCTATGGTAACATTTTGTTATCTAAGTCAAATCTCTTGTTTGGGTATGATTTTATGGTAACTTGGCACCGAATGCATGAATGTTGTTTTGAAGAGGAGTTATCTGTATTCTAACCCTGTCTAAACGGCCATGATCATTTTTTAAAAACTCAACAACACGAGATGAATCCATCCTCAACCTTATGAAAAGCCTGCCATGGGGACTCTGTGGGTAGCTCTGTGGTCTCATATTTCCAGGCATGTGGGTTTCAATCCCCCTTCGGCTCTGTGTGTGCAATTTGCATGTTTTTCCCATGTATTTGCAGGTTTTTTCCATGTATTTGCATGTTTTTCCCATGTATTTGTGGGTTTTTTCCATGTATTTGCATGTTTTTTCCATGTATTTGCATGTTTTCCCCATGTATTTGCGGGTTTTTTCCATGTATTTGCACGTTTTCCCCATGTATTTGCAGGTTTTTTCCCATGTATGTGCAGGTTTTTTCCATGTATTTGTGGGTTTTTTCCATGTATTTGTGGGTTTTTTCCATGTATTTGCAGGTTTTCTCTGGGTACTCCTGTTTCCTCCAGCAGGTCAAAAATATGCAGTTATGTTACTTTGTGTCTCTAAATTACCTGTGGAATGTTAGTTGTCAAGGTCTGTACCGTCTGACCCTGCCCTTTGCCATTTGGCTAGCAGGTGACCATCCTGTCCTCCTCCCTGTCACTTGCCCCTTAAGCCCCTAATGAGTTTTCCTTTGCCCCCTGGACTGTTGCATAGCTCAGTAAGCTGAGTATCTGTCGCTCATGGGTTTGAGGCTGGCCTCTGGCTGTTTATTAGTATTTATTTGGGTTTCTGTTTCCCCCAGTGATTGTTATGATCTATTTTGGTTTCCTTGGTCTTGGGTTTTCCCTGTGTGCACTTTTGTTCCAAGTTAAGTTTCCTAGTGTAGTAATTCCAAGTATAATTAGTGTTCATAGTTTCAGTGTTTTCTGTGTTATTTAGTGTTACTGCTTACATTTGTTTCTCATTGTTCTTGTGCCTCAGTTGATTGGTTAATTGATTATGTCTTACACCTGTTCTTTGTTTGCTCCTGTTTTCTATGTGTATTTGAGTGCTTGCCCTGCTTTGTTTTCTAGTCAGTCATTTTTGTGTCGCTGTGTGTTGTAGCTGGTTCTGGTCCCTCGCATGGTTCCACTTCTGCTGCTGCCTTGTTCCCTGACCTTGTTCCCTTTTGGTTTCTTGTAGTTCTGTTCTGTTTCCCAGGTTGGATTATCACTAGTTACTTAGGTTGATGTGTTAGTTTTCCCCTTTTGTTTTCACCCCTTGTAGTCCTTTATTTTGTGTGATTCCCGGTACTCAGTACTGCCCTTAAATAAAACCCCTTTTTGTTTCGGAGCTGCCAGTGGATTGTAACTCTCATTTCCCGCCTACGCCACGCCCCGCATCCGTAACAGTTAGTGTGTGCTCCCTGTCCAGGGTGGGGGTGGTCTGTGGCTCTACAGGTTATGACTCAGTGCCTGTGACTGGGAGGGCCAGACATTGGCCAATCCGGTGCTTTGTGGTTCTGCAGGTTAGGCCTCTGTGCCTGTGATCAGAAGGTTTCCAGTTCAAATCCCTTTGTTAGCAGAATGGTTTCTCCGTTAGTCTTTTGAGCAATGATCCAGTTAGCTCTAACCTGCAGAACCACAAAGCACGGGATTGGCCAATGTCTGGCACCTCTAGAGTTATTGGGTTTGAGGGCCTTGCTCAAGAGTCCAATGGTGGCATCACTCTGTCAGCTACAGAATTGATCCAGAGATTTTCTGACCCTGCTTTCTGAACTGTATGTCACTCTTGATAACAGCATCTGTTAAATACATGTAAATCTCTGTCACACCATGAGGCTCTAGACTCATTATGTGTCTGTAAAGGATAAACGGTGATGGATGTCATTCTAGGCCACCAGATTTGTTGTTTTTTATTGTTAATATGGGTGAATTTGCCGGAGACTATCCAGGTTAAGTAGGACTGCTTTTTGTCAAGTGGGATTTTAACCAATCAGAACTCCAGACTTTATAGCCAAGCCCAGTCCGATTGAGTGATTTGTCTCCTTTTACAATCAGGGAACTTGGTGCCCAGCCGTCAGTCAGTGGTTTGTGGCTTCTCCCTCCTCAGATCCCTCTCAGTAGGTCCTCACCACAGCTGACCGTGAGAAGCTCACAAGCCTTGCATGCTCTGACCCAGTCTTCTGGTTGTAATGATTCGGCCGTTTCAAAGTCACGTAGGTCATTAACCCTGCCCATTTCTTTCAGGTATTTTTTCCTTTACTTTTGCTATAGCGTTGCTTTTCAACCGCAGTATTTCCTCTGCATGGAAATATATGGAAATAAATGAGCATAATCCTTCAGACACAGTGAAGGTTTTTTTTCTTTTCTGGACACTGGGCAGTTTGCATTGAGGCAGATGCAGTCACCCGTCGGCCTTCGGTGCCTGCAGCGGTCGCTTTGGTCCATCCGTCTCCCAGTACATTTTTTGTGCGCTATTTCGGCGTCTCACACAATGCCAGCTGAGACCTGTCATTCCTGTCTGTTCCTTCCCAGGGAGGTGGTTCAGGCTAACTGCGTGCACTGGAAAAAGACCTTCTCCTTCCTGTGCAAGATGAGCGCCAGCACTGGCACTGGGGTGCTGGATCCCTGCATGTGCCGGGTATCCGTGCGCAAGGTGGGGGCCGGAGTTCGCACATCCTCATCGGTTAACACTCCCCGTACCTTACGATGGCACAGCTTGGTTAAATAACACGTAAACTCTGTGCATGTAACAGGAGATGAATGAAAGTGTAGCGGAACTTTACTATAGTATCAAAAGTACTGATTACTGAGTACTGATGTGATTGACATTCACATTTGGAGTTGACTTCAATATGTAAATCAATTAATTACTGAATACTTATGATTTTTGAGAATTAATTATCTGATGTGAGACTATACTCTCTTTCTACTTCATTTTTTTGCATGTCTGTTATTCCATAGGAGCTGAAGGGTGGGAAAACCTATGCAAAGGTAATATTCCTATAAAGGCTTTTAAAAAATGTTCTTCATTGCTGTTAGCATATCATTTGCACGATACGCCAATGCCAAATTTACCTTTTAAAATGAAAATTACAAGAATCATTTAAAATAATGTCATCACTTAATAACAACAATGTATTCTGCTTTCTGTAAAGGATTCCTCTCGCAACTAGAGTACAAATCACACGCAAAATTCTGCTTTTTTTTTTGTTTTTTTGGAATTTATCTACAAATAAATTCAGAGTACTCTGGTCAGGAGTAAAGCAATGTCAGGATAAAATGTAACAGGTTGCTCATGTAATTCCAAATGTATTATTGTCAACATACATAAAAATTGACATACATACATACATGTAGCTTGGTGACGGTTAATTTTGTTCCATTTATCATTTTATTTTATTATTTGTGTATGATGTAGCTTGGCTTTGTGGACCTTAATCTGGCTGAGTTTGCCGGCTCAGGGAGCACAACTCGGAGGTGTTTGCTAGAAGGGTACGACACCAAGAACACCCGGCAGGATAACTCCATACTCAAGGTAGGAAGTATTTTAAAAATATTTTTCAATAATTTTCATGGCTTCGCTTTAAGCAGTGAGATGGCAGCTGAGCGGTACGCCCCAACCTGGCAAGGCATAGTTTGTGGCAACCAGTGCAGGAAGCACTACTAGTTCCAGTGCAGCAGTCAGACACTGGAGGCTCCAGCCCAGTTTCCAAGATGGCTGACTTGTTAATTAGGCTGGCCATCGACAGATGGTTGTTGCGTTTAAGTGGTCATGCACCTTGAGCAGCCGTGTGTGTGGGTACTCAGTATATGTTTGCAATGAGCTCATTCCACTTGTTGTAGTTAATCTGAAGCTTAGTACTCACTTGCCATGGTTGACCTTACATTTCCTACATAATAATGTTCCAGTTGTATCTTTTTGTAGAGAAGCAGCACCTATACACCAAATAGAGTTACATAATGAACCTATAGTGTAGTGTAGTGCAGCATAGTGTAGTGTAGTCCAGCATAGTGTAGTATAGTGTAGTGCATTATAGTATAGTGTAGTGTAGAGGGAACATGAATGGTTAACTCCTTTCATCTCCTTTCTTATCACGTAGGTGGTGATCAGCACGCAACTGAAGTCAGGAGATCCCTGCTTTAAAACGTAAGAAGACTTGTCAATACTTCTTTAATTTTATTTAATGGGTTATATGTAATAAAGTACGAATTAGGAATGATTATACGTTTTTATTGACAATAAATATGGTGTGCCTAGAAATTAATAGTTTTTCCCTGGATTATAGTTTCATTGACATATATAAAATCCACCATATTTTACTTCAACACCCTGAAAAGTCTGTTATATATCCTTTGCTTTGCAAGCTTTTTAGAGCGCAATTAGAAGTCAACAGACCTAAGGCTAGAGTGCTTCTTGTAAAAAATGTAGAGCTCTGTCTACGTAATATTGTGATTTATCCACCCTGTAAAACTCCTCCAGCATTCATATTCACTTTCCATTATTTTTATGGCTTCAGATTTATATGTCAGTACAGAAGGAAAAAAAAAGTTTATTAGAGTTATTAGACACTATGGGGTGACCTGGTCGCTGGTCCTTCCAAAGAGCCCTTTAATCCATCTGCACTTCCTGGTATTACTTGGGGTTACTTTAAATATCCAGGTATACTGTGTCGTTATATATATGGTTTCTGGGGGGTGGCACGGCGGTTTAGTGGATTCCTCTGTGGCTTCACACCTCCAGAATTGTGGGTTTGATTGCACGTTTGTACCGGTTTCATCATCATCATCATTTTGCTGTACTACTCATTCTGATGTGTATTTTGACCTGTGTGCTTTGAAAGACACCTTTTAACCACATAGTAGGTGGGCAAAGTTGAGAGATAAGATTCTTTTTTTATGTGTTTCCTTTGGGAAGCAGGAAGAACTTTAATGAGCAGGGAGGTTCCTGCAGGACCATTTTCGTAGGGCTGTACAGAGCTGGCTGATGGAGGAGTTTTATGGATCTGATGTGAGATGCAGGCGGGGTGTTTGCAAGTCCAGAGTGAGGGAAGCTAACAGGGCTGTGTTTGCGCTCCCTGCTCATTGATGCTCATTTTAATACTTTCCTGAGGTCCTGCAGAATGCTTTACTTCCATATTTTATGCTAGAGGTCGCTGGTCACTGCTGTGTCACGATGACTGGCCTGATCTCACAGACGCCGCAGTGAAATTTCAGGCTCCTCTTCCTGAATTCTGTCATGTTTATGGAAAGGCACCCTGATGTTTCTGGAGTACCTGCGAAATACCTGATTCTTCAATCTATTATTTACCTTTTTAACAGGGCGGATTTGTTAAAAGCAGGATTTGCACTTACAGTAACAGCCCAAAGAGGATCAGTCATAGTAACATGAAATGCATCCAGACAAAAAGCATCGTCCTACTTTATTTAATTTTGTCGGCTCACGTGTCTCGTGGTCCTGCATCATTAACTTTAACTTTAATACCACACACCCTGACACGCACTCCTTTTATTCAATACACTTCATTATGGAATTTGATTTTCTCTAATTTGCCATCTACATCATGCTTTTTGACAGACGCATCTTTCTGGCTTTTGTCATAATGGCAAACAGTTTTAAGTGAATCCAGAACATCATGACACCATGCATAATGAGCCTTATTACTACAATCACACTTTAATGTAATCACTGATGTAATTGCGGGTAGGTGTGCAGCATTGGCTACCAGATGGCAATTAAGGATGTTACTACATTAGGGTGTGTTAATGGGATGAATGGAGAATGATTCCTGTTGTTAATGGGAGTTGTGGAATGAACTTCCACTGGTCTATCACCTCCACAGTTATGGGTTTGATTTTCCAAGCCCACAGAGGTTTGTTCTAATTGTGTTTGTATGAGTTTCCTGCAGATACTCTAGTTTCCTTACTGTGTCTTCATGTGACGTGATACGTCGACGCGGCTTTGAGCCAGTGCCCAGTGCCCAGTGCCTACCGTAATAACCCAGTGAGAGCAGGTCTGTCATGTTCCTGTCCAGCCACATTGGCTGGGGGGGAATCTGTATGCCACATGGCACCGCTAAACCCCTCCTCGCTTTCCCAGGCCCCCCTCCACCGCCACGTATGTAGGGCTGCAGGGGGACAGCGACCACCTGCACGAGGACAGGAAAGGGGGCGACACTCAAAAGCCTTTCCTGGGGATATCAGGTACGGCTGCTTCCGGAACATTCTGTAGTCGGCGTGATGGGTAACCAAAGGAATTCCGTAACCCTGGTTTTCAGGCCTCTCAGGAGGTACACAGTGATTTATTAAGATGCTATGGGAGGTGCCCCAGTTCACATACCAGCTCCTGTGTTAGTGGGGATTTGAATGCATGTGTTAATCTTTCAGCCAGAGCAGCTCAGATGTGAATGTGCAACCTTAAGTGACTAGGGTGGGAATGCTAACTGTAACAGTGCTAACAGTATTGGGCAAGACATGCTGAGGGAGTGCTGTGCTTGTGTGTGTTAGCTGCATGTTCCTGTGTCTCTACCTGTGTAATCCAGGCTGCTAACTATCTTTAGCTCATTAATATTACCGTTTGGGGTCCGGCGTCGTTCTGGATCCCCCTTCTGTCGCATGGCACAACTCATTCCTAGCTCTCCTGCCTTCGTTCTGAACTTGACAGAGACCCCAGGAAAGTGCACCTCTCTTCCCGACGAACTTGTGGGATACAGTCACTCCAGAACCTCCAGCTACGCTAGTCAGCAGTCGAAAGTTTCAGGTACACCTTATATACGCTCGTTATATGTTATACAGCATCTCAGCAGGTTACGATGAGGTTACATCACAGTGAACCTATCGTAAGGCTAAAAGATCGTACAGTGAAAATGCATTTTAATACAGTACACCTAGCCTAACAAACATCATAGCCTAGCCTATCTTAAAAACATGCGTAGAACACTTACATTAGTCTACAGTGGGGCAAAATCATTAACACATGTTAATATGTGTATATGTGTGTGTATGCTACATTGCAACATTCGCTTTTTCACATAGTCACTACCGCTAACAGTGTGTAGCAGATAATTCCACACTGACGTCCTTCATTTATCTTCTCGAATGAGCAGGTATGTTAAAAGCAGGATTCACATTTGCGGTGACAGCCCAGGGACAAGGTCCTTTCACAGTAAGATGAAGCACATCCGGACAGAAAGCATAATAATAATCAGCAGTCTGTGGTCTTAATCAACAGTTGAAAGGTTCATGCACACTTCATAGATGCTTTATATATGCCTCATATACTGCTTTGTAGATTTATTCAATTCAGAAGGTATTAGTGGGTCCTTGGGCTGTTATAGGTCTCTATATTAAAAGCTTAAGTGGGAAGCTTAAGAGAGATCAGAGAGAGATGCATCTACGACGGTGGTCCGCTAACAAGAAACTCACTTTCTGCCGTGGCTTTTACTTCTCAAACTCTCACTGAACAGCTCCTTGCCTCTGAAAAGCTTCTGCCTGCCACAGATTTCCTCCCACACATTGTACTCTGTATGCTTCTCCTAACCATGTTTACTGTGGTAACGTCATCAGGTTTAGTTGGAGGAGGTGTTGACGGTCCCCCGACGAGGTGCGATCTTACGGACGCTCGGCCTGCGACTCGTCGTTAAGCATATTAATTGCATTTATTCCTCCTGCTGTGAAACATTTACATTCCTGCTGCATCCCTTCTGATATGCAGATATTAGGTCACAACCTTTAGAGGAATGACGGCCTTTCAGACAAGGGCTGTATTGGTATTTTTCAGATTACTGATTTCCTTTGGATCTGCAAAGGTTTTGAAGTAACCAAGTAGCAGCCAATGGCAACTTATCATGCCTTATCAATTCTGGAAGGTGCCCTGTGGAGCCTTCATGGCACAGACAGGAAGTTCTCATGTGGAGAAACCACATGACACGTTAATCGGTTGGTCGCGGACGCGGGTGTCAGAAGCGCGTGGGTGTTCACGCATTCCTGGTCTGCTTAGCCTTTCGCGATTGGCCCCCGGCAGATGAGGGCAAACCACGCTTGCTGTTCCCAGGCTCGGGGGAAGCCCCAGGAATGACCAATGAAAGGCCGGCACTGAAATTGTGGCCTTGACCTATGAGAAGCTACTTTGACACAATGCCTCTGATGGGCTTAAAAATTCTGTATCATAGATGTGGAATTCATACGGTGGGCTGAAGTACTGTGGAATGTTAGAAAATATGTATATAATGAGAGGAAAGTGAAGGTGGCATATACACTGCCGTAGACATGGTTAGATGTCCTGAATATGGCAAAGTTTGAGAAAAAAACACGTCAAATGTCATGCTTTTTAAATACTACAAGAGCAACATTAATTTTAGTCTATTTCTGAGAGTTACTGCTTTGGGGTAATGGATTCCTAACTACAGTAAAATGGTAGATGCTGGGAAGTCCACTCTGATTGGCCCAGCCACAATGGACGTCCACTCTGATTGGCCCAGCCACAATGGACGTCCACTCTGATTGGCCCAGCCACAATGGACGTCCACTCTGATTGGCACAGCCGC